AGTACGGGAACAATAAAAACATCAAAGCTTATTTTGTCATCAAGTAATTTTACTTGGCAGAAAGCGACAAAAACCCACCAAGGTAATTATAGTAACTAAAATAAATTAAATAAGTCAACATTTTAGTAATTAAAATAAAAATGAAAAGTAGGCATTATAAAATATGAAAACTAACTCAAACAGCATTATGTACTTACAAAACTAACTTAAATAAAATAAAATGATAAAGGAATTGTCTTTAAATGTCAACGGACAGCAACCCACTGCATCTGTAGGTATAAACAGCTCACTCTATGGTAACAAAAACATAGTTATTCTTATATTTAGGTGATTATACAATAATGAAAACATACCTATGAATATTATATTCCATTTCTGACAACAGATCCTCTTAAATGTTACACACTGGACCTTTAAGTTGATACGTGGAACGTAAGTCCAACATTGACCTCCTTTTGGCTCTGTTCTGGTCTCCACCACCTCCTGGGGGGAAATATTTGGCTCTTTAAATGCTCTTTTATGTTCCCCAGTAGATGCTAGAAGAGTCTGTTACAGGCCAACAGGAAAAGATGAAAGGAAGGAAATCAAAACCTTTGATGTACCGTGAAAAAGCACTGCAGCAGTAATCCTCCAAACACAGTTGTTTTCTGAAATATAGTAAGATGAGCTTCTGATAAATAGACACTGACTAATTGAGTGGGAGGTGACCTTATATCCCTGTTAATTAGCACTGCATGCATAATTACCAATTATCACTTACTTTACATAACACTCTAACAATAACTGCAAGCAAAAGATGCCTGCAGCAATTATATCTCATCATTTGCAAGCAGATTTTAATTGAGTCAGCCAGTTTCACTCACGGATGGTAATTATTGTGAATGACTCAATAAAAACACAATTAGCAGACGATGCAGTGTCACATTAAAGCGTAGAATATGTTTTTCCGACTGGCAGCATAAGTTAAGAATTAAATAAAAGTGAGAGGGCTCAGGGGAAAAGTGACTAATAGTGTGAGTGTTTGTGTTTACTCTGCTCTCCTTCATCCTTCCCTGAGTCTGCTCCCTCTCTCTTTTTTCCAATTAGGCATTAACAGTTTTCACCAACCCATCCGAGAACACGTTAAATGACTGTAAACGCTACCACCGCACTCAGTTTCAGCTCTAGCGTTTAAAAAAACATGTCATGTTTCCTCTTGTACCCCTGAGCCAAAGTGAAGGTTGGGAGGTGTGTGTGTGTGTGTATGTGTGTGTGTGGCTCGATTTGTGTTTAATAGATGTATTAAAAACCTTTATTGCCTATGAACACAAAGCCAAGACGAATTGGTGCTTATTGTGAAACAGAAAAACACTTATTTATTAAAAAAATATCATTTTCACATGCTTATTTTCGAGTGCCCATTCTTATTAGCCATGCGAGCGACGTGGCTTTACGGATAGCAATGTCGACCCAGTTATAGGATGAATTGCCATTAGTTAAAGTTTGTACAGACATTCATGCTCTCCAGGGGGAAATTTCCTAATGCCCATTCAGATCCCCTGTTGAGTGAAATGTCTCGACAACTACTGGATAGACTGACGTGGAATTTGCCACACAGGTTCATGTCCCCCTCAGGAATAACTGTAATGACTTTGGTCAGCTTTTCATCTAGTGCCATTGTCAGGTCAAACTTTATGATTAAATACTTGCAAAACTGGCATTCCCATCAGCCGCTAGTTAGCCATTTTAGCATGCTAAAACACCCGCATGTTAGCATTGTGACTATATAGGTCTCTTAAACCATGTATAGTAGTTCTGTTTATACTATTTTCTGGTAGTAAAGACACTGTTGTAGAATGACTTCTGCAGTATTTAACACAAAAGACAACTAAATATATATATTAAAAAAGTTGTTTATTAGTATTTATAAACCATATGCACATCAACAAGATATTCCTAAACCTAACATGCAAGTGAATAACATTCACTGTCATTCCCGAGAGGAACCATTAATCATATTAAGACTTTTGCATACTTCTGCTTATCATGAGACTTCAAAATATGAGAATTTATTTGAAGGAGATCGTGATTAATTTGAAACAGAGGTCAAAGAAGGATAAAGTACAAGTAAACACTGCGGAATCCCCAAGTGAACAGTTCATTTCGATTTTAGGGAAGCCAATCAAAAGAAATCACGCGGCTGAATAAATGCAATCAACACGAAAAACAGATGTGGTATGATAATTATGTACAAACATTGAAAAATATGAGTAATAATGTTAGGAGTAGGCTTAAATAATTTGAGAGGAATTAATAAAAAGGCCTTTAGGTCATTGGTTTCTGTTGCAGGTACAAAAAAAAAGCAGAGAGGGGTGTCTTCGTTTTGATGCTGGAAGATTGTGTTTGCTCTTAAAGGAAAGCAAAGCAATGATTGGGACAGTCATCGTCATTATAGGGTAGTTAAACCAAAGGGAATGCAATCCTGTTCTAATAACTTTTACACTGTGTATTCTAGTGCTGCCCTCTGTCTATTGAACAAGTTGATCTGGTGATTTGGTTTTTAGATTCAGTTTGTACACAGATGTTACAGATTATAGTCCAGTGAATGTTTCCAATTATACAGGGAAGCAGGGAACAGTTGTTACCTCCTTACTTTTTTTTAAATGAGATTATTTTTTTTTCTTCTTTAATTTCCATCCATTGCAGTCAAACCTTGATGTTGCGGCTATAATGATCCAACAGGGATTCTACACACTTGCTGGATACTGTTGTTGTGCCAGTGTTACACTTGAGATTTTTCTAGTTTGAGGTGAATATTATTAAAAACACACAGATACAAGTTTCTGTTCATTGTTCAGGAGGTTTCTTCGGGGAGCCCAATTATCCACAGTGGTCTCCTTCTCTCCTTAAAAAATCGGACCCAGTTATTAAAACTGGAAAAAACACTGAATAAAGCAGTTTCACCTTGAAAATCACTGTTTCTCTGATGCTGTTTGGCAGACAAAGGACGTCCTGGAAGTCCTGCCAGCCCAGCTGCTGCTAACGTTAGCTCAGCTTGT